CATAGTTCTCGGCATTGGCGGTAAAGGAAAGTTAAATCTGCAAACAGCATTTCCTCTTTTCTTGCATGTTTTAGAGTGTTTGTGCCTTTGTAAATTTATGAGTTCAGTTAAATCATCTGAGTCAGCTTTACATGAAACATAGCTATCTACAAAATTGGTAATATCTTCCTTGGAATCTTTACCATACTCGGGTGCATTTTTGATCCAGAATAATCCATGGATATGTGGAGAACCTCTTTGCTGGAATTCAACACGATAGAAAAAGTCAACAACTTGGATGGCATGAACTTTTAATAAAATTGTGAATAAATTGTTGCACCATATGTTCAAAATTTCGAGCACATGTTACTGGATCTTTCTGTATCAATTCAGACTTCTTTTGCCAAGTCATTTGCTTAACCTCATCGTCAGTATAGTGTTTGTTGTCAATAAGACGACCAAGAATTTTGATCAAATAAATCCAACGCGTTTCAGCAGCTGAAAATGAACAGAACCATGGAGGGGAACCGCGTAAATTTCTTAAAACTCTGAATCCTTCATCCAAATTGATTAGCTTATTAACAAAACTTTCACACTTCAAATCTCCTGCTGTGTACGTTTTACCTTTGGTTTTACATTTACGCAATGATAAACTTGCACTTCCTTGGATTTGTCTGATCTGTAATTTTTTTAATTTATAAAAAATGTTTGGCACAGATTGAGCAACTCTTCGATCTCGACTAGTGAACAGGCACAAGTCTTTCACTGTTATCAGCTTGATGTTTGCCACAGTAAGTGGTAGGGAAAGACAGAAATTCAGCATCTTTATCTATAAATATACCAAGTGGTCTATTTCCTTCTCCTGGTGCAAAACTGATTATTTTATCACCATCTTGAGTAATGTCAGGTTCTTGTAATAATGTAACCATAACACCTGATGGTCGTTCAGTTACTTCACACCACTCATCATCAGTGTCATTGTCAACAGAGTCGTTACTTACTCGTGTCTCCACTGTTTCTTGATTTTGAGTATTCAAATCGTTTGACAGATTATCTACAGTCTCCTTGGTGTTCTTGGTAATAAATTCTGACCACTCTTTGTCCTTATTGACTGGATTTGGCACATAATTATCCATTACTTGTATAATCAGTGAAAGATTCCGGCAATTCTAAAACCGAGAATATTTTGATAGTTGGAAGTCAAATGTTGCACCAATTTTGTCTTTCATCTTATTTTAACATATCGGTGAAACAAAAGTTCCTACCCTTTTCTAACTGTCGAGTAACTTTCTCAAACTTGAAAAAGGTCACCCTTTTGCTCGTAAAAGGGTAAACTTTTTCGATATTTCAGAGTAAATACGATTCTTTGATTTGACCAACTTTTTGTGTCTGGTAAAGTTGTGACTAAAAAATGATGTGACAAATAAGCAAACCCTTTTTGTACAAGTTAGTTTTTGTACGCACACACGAAAAAGGGTATCCTTTTTTAGAAATAGCGATTTTTTTGTAAAGAAAGAAAAAGGGTACCAGTTTTGAGCAACAGAGTTTGGCGCAGCAACGCGAAAAATAGCAACCTTTTTGCAAAATTCGGTAATTTCATAAAAGACGAAAATGGGTATCTATTTCTGTCAAAACAACTCGTCGCAAACAGACGAAAAAGGGTACCCTTTTTCATCATTGTGCATTGTAAGGAACGTATTTCTAACAAAATGGCGGCTTACTTGGAAGAAAATATTGAAGTTATAAAAGATTGTGTCCAGAAGAATTATACATATCAACAAATAAGTGAGTTGTTACAACAGAATTTTCCCGACGCGAGACGAGGTGTTTCCGTTAGAAATATCCGCCTGTTTTGCTCAAGAAATGAAATAAAGAAACTAAATGACGTTGAAGTTGATGCCATTGTTCAGCACTCCATAAGTGAGGTATTATGATTAGACTATAGTGTGATACTGTGCTATAACAGCGTGCTATGCCTATGGCTATGTATTACTATTTTCTTACAGTGTAGTTTTCAGATGAAAACTACAGCATGAACTGAAATAAGAATTTAATGATAATGCTTGATACCGATATATTTAATAATGTATCAGATAATTTTAGAAATCATGTCTTAATAAAATGCGTTTGAAATATAAATAAATTATATTACATTGTCGACATTGTTAATTATATATATTAGTTAAAAAAGTATATCTTTACATGCAGGTGGGCCCTTCATATGGTCGAAAAATGATGACTGGATATGTGAATAGCAAAGGTTACAGTCTGAGTGGTTACCAAGTTTTAAAATCGCTTAAACGAGTCAATCCAGAGGACCACAACAGGAGAAGATTAGACACAGTTCGGCGAAGAAATCCTGTTCCTTATAATTCACCCTACCATGGCAACAAGTTGCACTGCGATCAAAACGAAAAATTGTGCATGTATGGCTGCACCTTTATGCTTTTAGTGATGGATGTAGCTCTAAAATTGTTAAAATGTGTTGTATGCCAAGAAAAAACGCTACAATTGTGTACTTTTATTTCAGGTTTGTATATTATATATTAGTTAAGACAATAATTTATATGATTAATCTTGCGAGGGGGCGCCTAATCGTGTGAGGTGACCGACGAGTACACAAGTTTCTTCATTCAGTTTTCATCTTGTTTGAGTTGCCCCTCTGATTTTTTTGGCCCCCCTTTGGCCGGATATCCTGGTTACGCCACTGAGACGTGAACAGCATGTGTTGCGCAGAAGTGTGTAGGAAGCGGGATAAACGTTATTATTCAAGATAAGTGTCACGGAACCCAATGTTTTTAACATTAAAATTGTCAATTAAAAATACTGGGTTCACTGATCTTGAATTTTTCTTAATTATTTTCCTAGTTAGTTTTTTTCAATCGAAAGGGTTGTAATGCGCCTTATATAATTAAAGACCATCATTCAAAAAGGCTGAACTGTTCCTTTAATCAAATAGTCTCTCAGAATGCCAGGGCTGCATAATATAGCGGACCGCGGGACCATTGGTCCCAGAAAATTTTTGAGGTTGGGAGAGGGTAAAACTTAAAAGTCTCAAAAGAAAAAAAGTAAAGAGAAAGAAAGGAAAAACAGAAAGGAAGAAAATGACAAAAAATGACATAATTGAATAATAAGCTGTAGGTAGTGAACTAGTGATATAAGTAACACAAGTTTCCAATATACTGGTACAGGCGGCACTCCAGCAGCCTGATATTATGGTCAAAGACAGGCAGACAGCAGTCTAGCAGATATTAAGACGAATCCTCTATGCGGTTGTTATAATTGATTTCATCTAGTGTATTAGCTACTTCTGAAAATACCACTCCAGTTATATATGAATACAACTCCTTTAACAACTACAGTATGTGGATTAAAACGTCTACGAGTGTGGTGATTTCTTACAATGTAGTAAAAATCTAAGCAATATGTTCCAATACACAACAGCCTTCTGCCCTTCTCCTGAACTTGCATCCATTATTTAAGATGATATTCATAACAAATATATTAAAATTATAAGAATCTAGAATCTTAAACTGCAGACAGTTCCCAGTGGTCACTTTCATTTTCTATTAAAATGTAAATGTTTGTTGTTAAATTAAAATATGAAGAATTCCAAATAATATCATTTATGTAATGTGATTTATGTATTATAAATTACTGACTGCCCCTGTAGCAACCGCATGTGCATGCATTCATTCTCCGAAGCTTTGTTTTCTTGGCATTCGACAAACATTAAAGATAGCACACTTTTGGGATAATTTGGCTAGGAGTAACAATCCTCCTAGCCGATTTCAGTAAATAAAACAATATTTATTAATACATAAGTGTTTGAAAATACTAATGTTTCATGCCAAGAAAATTATCACCAACCCTTATGTCATATTATTCAATAAAGTAATTGTATATAATCTTAATAATAATACTAATCTATAGGTATATAAGTATATGATTAATTAATTAAGTTGTTCATAGCTAATAGTCAACATGAGAGGAGGTTTTGGGGAGGAGGTGGGTCAACTTTGAATGATGTCTTTCTCAGCAGTTGTAGTCGATACTGATGATTGGCAGTGTAGCTGTCCATTATATAAGGTTTGCACCACTCCTCTCACCCACATTGCGTGCCAATATGCATGCTCTATTTTAGATGTTGGTGGCGCCAAGCTTATAGTATCAGTAAATTCCCTTAACGGCTTAACACCTTCCTAATAATTCTAGTTTCCTGGTTATTAAACTACTTTAGATAAAGTAGATTTTACTTTGATAAATCACATTACATAAATTCCCTATTTTCTTCGCAAATATTCAGTTATAATAACGTTTTCAATTACTGTTGATTTTGACAATTGTCGCGACCTCGACCGCTACAAATTTCAACTGATCAAAGATCGTTGTGACAGCACCACTATTTCTGCAAAAGGTTGATTTTTGTTGCAGTGTGTGAATTTATAGTTACTCTGTTGAACGGTTTTCAAGTCATCTTAATATATAATTTCAAAGATTTTTTATTCTATATTTTGTAAAGTTATAATATTTTGTAAAAGGTATAGTATATTTATAGCATGTTACTATATTTAGAGTGTGATCGTGTTGTTTTTGTACAACTGGCTCGCATTTTACCAGCAGTGCACAACGACAAAAACTTGTTAAACTTGTTTACCGGTTTCTCATTTAATGTGTTCGTCCATGAATCTGGACGGCAGCTACATGAAACGATTGTTCGTTTGCTCACAGTGGCTTCTCCTCAGCTGAGCTAGAAACCACTGCTAGCAGGGTAAAATACATCTATTTTGGTTTCAAATATAATGAAATGGTGCGTAGAATACACTGAATTTTGTTTAGTGATCAAATTTAAACATAAGATTCCCAGTGTTTGCATGCAGAAAATATTTTCGTTGGCTTTGTGGTCCCAGAAAATAAAATATTTTATGCAGCCCTGCAGAATGCAGCAATTTGCCATTCCGCACACCCGAAATTTTATTTCAAATTTTTTTCCCCACCTAGCAGAGGTATAGAAGAATCTGGAAATGCGGCCATTTCTGACGATCTATATAGTGACGTAAATTTCAAAATTTTTGCCGCTCAGCGCAAAAAAATGACACTTTCTCTCCGGATACTCCGGTTTTCCTCCCTCACTAAAAACAAGCTTAGGCATTAATAACTAACTTCACTAATCCTTGGAAGCCTTAATTATTGCAGGGGGTCACGTAAAATTATGTAATCCACAAGAGAGGTCAACAAAATTTGAACATCCAATTTTTCATTTGTACTCCCCCCCCCCTTTAAATAATGACTAGACCCTTACAACCTCTTGCGACGCCTTACAACCTCTTGTGTCGTTGATGTTACATATTATTAATTTTGTTTCGCTGACAGGGAAATTTTGTTGCAAAAAGGCATATGGGATATGGTAAGGGTAGACCACGGTACGGAAGCCTGTCTGATGCTTTTTGTCCAAGATTATCTTAGAAATCTAAGAGGAAATATTACCTGCCAACCTTATGTTCAGACACGATCTAGAGAGGTATTAATTCTATTAAATGAAAATACTGTGATATACATGCATGTGTATAATATATTGTATTGATAGTTTAGCTTTACACCTCAAGGACAAAGGCTCAAACTTTGATATAGAATATACTATATAGTTAATCAATGACTTTCTACAAGTACCGAGTGAAATTTGGTCCTGGGTACAAGGTTGATAGTTAATCTGACTGTACACACGGCCACGGTTTCATCAAACACCTGAACTTTGTAACCCGCCAAGCCAAAACTGCTGGTTGTTTCCTATATGGTGTAGATATGAGATAGTTTGGTGCTAAATTAAATCAATAAAAAACTTAATGTAAAGAATAATTTAATTCTGCAAGCTGAAAAATTCCCTTGGATATGACGGATCTGCAAATTCTTTTTATTATATAGAACCTTCCCGCTGAGAGGAAGTGGCCAGAAATAAATCAGCGAGTGATTTACCCAATAAAAGAGGTACTTGTTAGGATGGAAAATCAACTCCTCAATAGATATGATCCGGTGTCGCAATTTTGTGTTTCCTTCATTGTAATTAACACTGTTCAAATTGGGATCCAAAGAGTTATTGAAGCTTGGAATGCTCATCCCATAGAAGGTTTGTTGCTTTACTCAACTTGAACTTTCAGAATAATTAAAGGGCATTGGCAACTTATTGCTTTATTTGAAAGAGCATGAAAAAATAAGCCGATTGGCCGTTTATACTGTTCAAAAATTTTCCAAATACAGCACAACGTGTGACGTCATTGGATGGGTAAGTATGTTTATTGAATACTAAACTGAAGCATAGCTCAGTTATTATGAGCTGAAGTCAAATGAAATTTTGCATACAAATAGTACATGATGAGACGCATTGAAAAACCCTTCAAGTTTTGTTGCCAAGGTAACACTGTCGTTCCCAGGCCCCTTGCACGAATTTTATAAAACAGCTTTACTCTTGGTACTGATTAGGATAACATAATATCAGAAGTGTGTGTACTATAACTATGCATGACAGAAGTTTACTTGAATGATAATAATTCGAAAATGACGCCCACATAGATAAATGTAACTAGTTATAAAAAATTCGTATAAGGGACTTGGGAATGACAGTGTTACATTGACAACAAAATTAGAAGTGTTTTTCAATGCGTCTCATAATGTGCTATCTTTGAGGGAAATTTCATTTGATTTGAGCTCGTAATAACTGAGCTATGCTTCAGTTATGTATTCAATAAACATACTTACCCATCCAATGACGTCACAAGTTGTGCTGAATCAGCAATTTTTATTTTTGCGTATAACTTTGCAACTAGATGAGATAGAATAGTAAATGGCCAATCGGCTTATTTTTCATGCTCTTTCAAATCAAGCAATAAACATTTTCGTTGCCAATGTCCTTTAATGAAGACTTTTTAACAACTTTTCGTATCTTGCTTGATTTTGAAAATATTTCTGTCGTGAATGGCCTCCTACATATCCACAACACTCACAAATTATAGTTTTAAATCTCGCTCAGAAACCTTGCTCGCTTTTTTCACAACAACAATGTCCTCAAAAATGCAAACGCATGCGTTTTGATTGATCGACACGTTCAGGTTTGCATACTATTTAGTAGGTTAATATTAAACTAGTTTGATAATCTCCAACAATTTCGACTGATTTGAAATAGTGATTCTTAGCCTTATATATAAAAGTAACTTTTAAGTCTAAAATTGTTTGAATTGTGTTTGATCATTTCTAAGTTTGATTTAGCAACCAGCGACAAAGGTTTGGGCTACTGTTGACCACTGGCTGTAAATATTAAAAATTTGCGTAACCCCACTCGTGACGTAGACAGATAGTTTTATGACCCCATCAGCTATTCTGCAATTAGTTAATTGTGATTAAATAAATGTACTACTACCACCACGACCACCACCACCACTAGTACTATGGGTGACTTCCTATTTAGAGTGTAAAACTCGGGAAATTTGGAATTCTACTTTTTAAATGTATATCACAAAAACCTCATCCAATAATATTGCTTAATCATGTCGGTGTGAAATACAAGTGTCCCGTGTGTGAGTACTAATCGTTTAATTATTGTTCTAGGTCGAAACTATAAAATTCCTAATGTAGTAGCTGAAAGAACATCTAGGGTTCGCTCTGTTGACGTGACATTAATACCGAATGTTGATGAAGCAGTGCAGATGTACACTGATGCCGGAGGAACGATTACCCAAGAATGTTCCTTTGGAATTGACCCGTTAGCAGCTCATCAAAACCTTAAAAACAGGCGAGAAGCGCACTTTTCTCAGATGATTGGATCATTCACTGGTGTTTACAATAACGTCATTAGTGGAGATGGATCACTTCTTCAAATTGCTATTTTTTAACACAACTACAGAATTAGCTATTCCACTTAATCATTAAAAGAACATAATTTTACTAGTTCCTTGTTGGTTCCACATATATATAAATGAGGCTATACAATTTGGCTATGAAAAAAATGTTGATAATAATAGTCGTCTCTTACCACACCATCGCTTTCGCCGTATGGAATGGTATCCAAAGACTCCGTATTGCTATGAACACTGGTTTGGATACGGCTTAATTGGCTTGCATGACTTTCTTGCAAATCTTGTATTGGATGCTGTAGCAATAACGCAACTTCACGCAAGAGTGGAATGATATGGTATTCTTTGTTGGTTCGACACAGCGGGCATTTAACGCGATTATCACCGCGATTATCATTCGTACCACTGTTCGATGCAAGGAATACATCCAATCACAGAATAGCAGCTAGAACATGCAGCAGCTGGTAGCGTTGCTACGCTTAGGCATATTGAGCATTTGAAAATACTACTAACCAATTTGACAGCTGCTTCATTAATCGAGGTAGTTGGTTGCGGTAAATTAAGACGGTTTCAGGGAATGGGAAACATCGATGCAAATAAAGGACTGTCAGGATCATCGATATTATCTTCTTCATCTTCTGGTGTGTCAGCAATTAGCTGTTTAAGGTGTTCCATGATCTCATGGGGTCTTTTTTTCTTTGAGCTGGATTTTCTTTTTATGTTACCCGCCTGTGTAGCGCTCACCACGACAATTTTTCTGTTGCTCCTCCAAAACTGGGAACCTGCAGTATTCAAATAAAAAAAATATATAAACTGAGTCTGTCTGATAACACTGTTCTACAAATATTCATCAGTACTAACACGCGGTTGCTTGCTCGCAGCCTGATTTCCGCCTAAAAACTCAGGCTGCTGGCCGCCCATTATGTTCAATTCATTATAGATTTATCACCTTGATCACATTCTCCTGATAAGTCTGTTTTGCACTTTTGCATGCAGATATATTGCTTATGAGCAACGAAAAGTAGTATAATCCAAGGCATGCAAAGCCATTCTGTTGGAATTCTCAAAACTGATTTCTCAAAAATTCCTCAGATTTCCTAAATTCCTTTTTCTTCGAAGAAACTCCTTTTAGGGTCAAACGTTTCTTGCTGACGATTATTACGCTTCGAGTATTAATAGAAAACAATGTTTAAGGTGGCTCCCTAGGATTTTTGCATTATAATGCACTTCAGCACTCAAAACCCTCCCGTTTCTTTATCTTGCAAGTTATAAAGATGAAATTTGCAGGA